AGGGGAAAGAGCTTCAATTGCATCAGGACTTCCAGTAACAGGGGATGGAGGGGGAAGGTCAACCCTTCTTCCTTGATGACCTTCGTCCAGAAAGACATCATGTCCTCACTTCCCATGTCCCTCCTATAACGAGTAGGGTTGAAGGGAAAGGTGAAGACATGCTCGCGAATATGGTACCTGATCCTAAAGGTGTGGATGTTCTCGTCTGTTACTTAGGTTCTCCTCATTTTGTGGGTAGAACTGGCCCTAACAGACGTGTCCCCCCTAGTTCTACTGGTTCTGGCCATCGGTGAGAGTTAAGAGGGCGAAATGTAGAAGAAACAGAGAGAGAAAAAGCTCAAGTGGAAGTACTTACAGGAGGTTGGTCTTCGGAGAGAGCTCGGGGAACCAAGGAAACTCAGAGGATAGGGGAGCACTCGGGGTCTGATTGCTAAGGAAAGATAAAGGATGCAGAAGTTCTTAGAAGGTAGAGAAACCCCCTATTTATAGTGCCTCATAAGGAGCGAGAATCGAGGAGTTGGCTCATCATTAGGGCATTTGAAAAGGGCGGCACCAGACGTGCAAGCAATCGTCACCATTAATGAGGCATGGTGATAGAACCCCAATCCCTTCACTCCACTTGTCGAGCGCCGCGTAAGGGATTGCGGCTGGGGGGCAGTTGGCGGGACTCTTTGTGTGGATCCTCAACTCCCAAGGTGACACGTGGCCCAATAAAGTCATTAGGATGTTTGGAAGATGCCAAGGGGGTGAGCCGAGACATGGTGACACAGAGCGGCCGAGTACAACAGCTGACATCATAGTCAAAGCGATGTGACCTCGCATTTATGGCGAGATGAGTGATAGTGACAAAACAAATAAATGCGGAGCTGCCACCAACTGCTCTCTGCAAGTCTATGCCTACTGTCATGATGACTAGAGCATTAATGACTGATGCGCCGAAATAACGCAATTGGTTCTCCCGACTTCTCTAATCCACCGAGTAGTTTGTGTCTTGTCAGTGTCAGACGCCGACCTCTTGGATTGGGCTACTCGGCTCGTAGTATAAATGTTCGGCTTGTGGCCGAACACTTATACCATTTCTCGAGCATTCAATTCGAGGAGGCGTAAAGGGGAAGCATTCACAGCACGAGGGATGGTGTGTCAGATGTAAGATGTCCAGATGGGACTGAAGATCTAGAACAATCATTGTTAATTCAGGTATAAATATCCCTTAGAAAAATGGATAATGGTACGCAAAATCAAACAATAGCTCATTGACTAAGAAACATCCATTTGATTTTACTGATTTAAGCTACGGAGGGGATTCGCCGGGCTCACGCCTGACCCCCTTTTTTCTAACCCCGTTTTTTCAGGTTTGTCAGTCAAGGGATCGCTACCTTACGAGATTGCAGGATCTATCCCGTGCATATGTTATCGGTGACACGTGATAATCACCGATTAATACTAATTAGTTAGTTAGTTATGCTCCGTTAATAAGAAGAATGAAAAGTACGAGGAACTCATTTTTTATTCTTCAAAGAAAAAAATAGGAATGATACACTTTCATTCCTTTGTATTTGATTGGATGTATAAAAAAATAAAAATAACTAATTATTATTTTTTTGTTGGCTAAGATTATGAGTAATAATCAAGTTGTGTAGTAACAAATTCGTGTTGACTCATAACGAGTTTGTGTCGAACATTAGTCAAACCTAACTCAACCCATTTAATTAATTGTGTCATGTCAAGTTGCGAGTTGACCTGTTTATTTTTGTGTCGTATTCATGTTAACTCACATAAAATTTGAATAAAAAATTTAACGTTAATATTTTATTTTCACTTAATTAAATTCATATTAATATTTTTTCTACAAACTAAAAATTAACTTAAATAAATATAATAATAATAAGTAAAAATATCTTTTTTATATAATAATTATGTTAGTGTTTAATAAATAGTTACAAATAATTAATATTTTATGTCTATAATACTAGTTAAACATGTTAGTTTCGTATTAATTTCGTATTACCATACAAACGAGAAAATAGAAAAAATATTTATTTTTAAATAAACGGGTTGATGATGTCAATTTTGAGTTTGACTGAATATGAGTCTTTTATATTTTTTGTTCTCATATCAGATCATTTTCAAGTTCATGTTGAGTTATAATCAAATTTATGTCGAGTTTTAATCAAGTTTGTGTCGAGTTTTAATCAAGTTTGTGTCGAGTTATAATCAAGTTCGTATCATAAAATTTGTGTTGAGTTTGAGTCATGTCATCATGTTGAGTCAAAAAATTTTACTCCTAGTTAAGATGAATTTTTTTGTAATTTAATTTAATTTTTATTTTAATTTTTTTATATATATATATTAAAAATATATAGACAAATAAGATATATTTCAACCCAAATAATTAACTTTCTATCAACATTCTTTTCGATTTTGGAGGAATTGATTTTGGTGAGTTAGAAGAAAAGTTAATTCATCAACTTTTTTATTCTTTCTACTTTTCTTCCTTACCAAACATGATATTTTATTTATTTGTTAAACTTTTTATTTTTCCAACTTTTTATCCTTTCATTTTTTTTATTATACCAAATAGAACATTAGTATGGTAGTTATTAAAAATTATTAGAATAGTAAGATTCACTAAAAAATATGATATATTATAATTGATCAGTGATATAATCATATGACGTGTCTCTCATTATATAATATCATCGTTGTAGCAAACATTTTCTCATTCATTTCACCTTATCATATTTTGATTGGTGATAAAATTATATAGTTGCGATGAATATTTTCTCGTCCATTTGGTCTTCAACAGTGGACACCTAAAACTATACATGCAAACTACTTTACATGTTGCAACGTTCGGCTAGCCAGGTGGGGGCGATTTGATTGTTCACAGGATTTGAGTTTTTTGACTATATTTATGACGTAATGTCATTTATTTATTGCATCACCATCGATAAGGAACATAGTGTGCCGAGCAAATTATTTTGAATAAGGATTTTCCTATACCTATAAATTACCAGCATTGGATTATTGTTGGAAATTGTCGTAGTATTAATCTCATTAGAATGTAGTTTTCTATTATCTCTTTGAACACCATAATATTATAAACTCTTAGGGTGGCCAATGATCAAGTCTGTCATCTTGTAAGTAAGAGATTTTATGTTCGATATTTTTCACATCTCTTAAAGATTAATTATTTTTGTTCCTCAAGAAACATGTTCTTAAACTAGTTTGAGTTACGGTGATCAATTTCAGAGATCAAAAAAATAATTAACGTAAGTCTGAATATCTTGAAAAAAAAATAATACTATAAACATAATGAATAGAAGAAGAGGAAGAAATAAACTCTTGTGCACTCAACTCAATTTGCATTAAACACTGGAAATCTAGAATACATATCTTATTTATATAGATTCCATCATCCAACTATAGCTCTTTAAAATGAAATCCCCTCAAATATATTTTCTTCTTAATGTCCATCTTGACGAATTATCTATCAAATGTTTAAATGGAACCTATTGTATATAAATCGGTCTCTAAACGATTTTTGGATATCTTACCTTACATTAGCATACCATTATCTTTACTAACTTGTGTCACCACTTTCTCCACAATTTGGAGATTAACACGCCATTAATGCACATTACTCATGTTATATTAATATTCCAATCGCACACTCTTTTTTAGATTTAAATCCTCTCTATTATACTTTCTCTCAAATCACCATATTGTAGATCATGTATTGTGTGTGGGTGTAGAACTCACTATTAAATGGTGGGTCTCTTGTGTATTAACTGTTTACTCTTGTGATGAGAAATTTATGTACATTTGGTAACATTTTTTTTTTGTAATATTTTCTTAATGCATTTATATACTTATATATATATGTGTGTGTGTGTGTGTGTGTGTGTGAATTACTATATATCCGATTAAGTTTGGAAGGAACAAAATGCTTACAAAAAAAAATGAATAAAAATACAAAACAATCGCTATTCAAAAATACTTAAAATAAAACGTTATCAAATAGTATGGGCGAATTGCACTTTACACTCTAAAAGATTTCAAGATTCCTACTTGATACTCTTAAAAATTAAATTTCTATATTATAGCTTAAATGTATTAAAAGTGTTGCAATGTAACTCTTCTGTTAGTTACTATTAGTTTTTCTATTAATATTAATGAGTTAGTTTTTAACAGAAAAAAATAATATTATAAAGGGTATGACTATGTAAAAAATATACATAGTTTGATTGATTGTGTTAAAAATAAATATTAAAAACACAACACCAGTAGAGTTAACCAAAAAAGAGTAATGCTATATAGATTTAAAAATTAGACTTGATAATCTCAACTATTGAATATGTAATGTGTCTCAATAAATACTGGGACCCACAATGAAGTCAATGGTTCTAATTATTAAGTCTAATTTTTAAATTCATGTAACATTATTCATCAAAAAATTATATTACAATATAATAAAGAGTAATGTTGCATGGAGTTAAAAAGTGGACTTCAAATGCGTTGATAATTATAATTATTGAATAGATAGTGAGTTACAATAAATATTAAAACATACAGTGAAATCGATAGTAATTATTAAATATATTTATTTTTAAAAAATCTACTTTTTAAAATAAGATGCTTATATTAAAATTCAAACAGGATAACAGAGGCCGTTATGAATGAAGATAGACGTTGAGGTCACTCAAGGAGGAGGAACAGGACAATTTTCATGGTGATGAAAACGCGTGCCATGGTTGCAGAACCTCCATTGCATACGTGCCATCAACTGCACAAGGTCGTTTTAGCCCAGTTTCAATGTTATCTTCACGATAATAAATAAATAAATGCTGGGAAATATTTTTTTTCTTGGGTTTTGTTTTTCCTTATCTGCAATGGGTTTTTACTTTTACTACTAAGAGATTGGGTTGGATCCCCCACAAGTGTTATAAATATGGGCACTTGGCACAACCCATTGCATGAACTTCTCATAGTGATTGTTTTATAGAGAAAATTTGTATACAGACAAAGAGTTCTAGCCATGGCTGCATCTTTCTCAGTGCCATCAATGGTATGTATATGTTTTTGTTTTTTCTTCTTCTTCTCTGTTTTTTGTGTTCTTCAGCTTTTGATAGTTGATTTCTCTGTAAGGTGACAGCATGCCCTCTTCACTGGGGTTTCAGGAGTTTGCCAAATTGGCTCGATAAGAAAGCTTCCCAGGATCTAAAGAACTGCTCAATTTGAAGGATTTTGAATGATTTTGCTTCATGAGTTCATGCATGGTGACTGTTTGATAAAAAACGAAAAAGGCAACTCAGATTTGTTTGATGAACTGTAATATTAACAAACGCCCGCAAAAAAAAAAATTGAAAAAGAATAAGATTAGAAAATGTTTCTAATCTAAATTTTATTTTCATGCATAGTTTCGGTTAGCTTGGTAACAAAAATGTTTGAAAACAATTCAGAAACATGATGGAAACTACGGAAAATATTGAGAGTTTATTTGTGTTGATCAAAACATACCAAAATACGTTAAAACATATTAAAACATCTTAAAACAAAAAAAAATTAATATTCAATCACGGCTTTATTTCGGTTTTATAAAAATAGAAACTTTTGGACCGTTTTGAGCATTTCGAAACGAAACTTAATTCCTTCGATTTGCTTATAAGATAACATCAACAAATTGATGAGGTCTAGGATTTTTAGTTCACCATCCTTTCTTCCCTCTTTAGCCTGTTTCTCTTCATTTTGGCAGCAAAACAGTTTTGGTGGAGAAAACTTTGAATTTCTCCTGCTTTTAACTCTCTGCTTTTGTTTTTTTTATTTCCTTTCTTTCATCAAGAAATGGTCTTGATTGGGATCTGAATTGACAAGTAACCATTCAAGTACAAAAAAAATCATTTCAAAGTGGACTATTTGCCTTGTAACTTTTTGATGCATTTTTTCACCCAACAGAGAAATCTGTCCCCTTCAAAGATGTTTCTCTAGCTTCTTTTCATTGTTAATCTCACCATCTTCTGAGGCCAGATCTCATTGATTGTCTAACAGTTTTTAGTTATTTAGAACCCTTTGAGATCAATTAATTTGATAAACCTTGAAAGGTGGTTGGAGCACGATCCACCATTGTTCTATCACCATCTGTAGTCTGTTCACCATAAAAACATTTCATATGATCTTGTTAAAAGGGCTTCAGTCTCAGTTGAGATATTTCTGAAAATTTGCATAATGGGTTAATATTTTACGGACAGATTGTGGAGGAAGAAGGGAGGTTTGAAGCAGAGGTAGCAGAGATGCAAGCATGGTGGAACTGTGAGAGGTTCAAGCTCACTCGTCGACCATATTCAGCCAGAGATGTTGTGGCACTACGTGGCAATCTCAGACAAGACTATGCCTCAAATGAGTTGGCCAAGAAGCTCTGGAGGACTCTCAAGACTCACCAAGCCAATGGGACAGCCTCAAGGACTTTTGGTGCTCTTGACCCTGTTCAAGTCACCATGATGGGCAAGCACTTAGACACCATTTATGTCTCTGGTTGGCAGTGCTCGTCTACCCACACGACGAGCAACGAGCCTGGACCAGACCTTGCTGACTACCCCTACGACACTGTCCCAAACAAGGTTGAGCACCTGTTTTTTGCCCAACAATATCATGACCGAAAACAAAGAGAGGCTCGAATGAGCATGAGCCGAGAAGAGAGGGCTAGAACTCCTTATATTGATTATCTGAAACCCATAATTGCCGATGGTGATACTGGATTTGGTGGTGCCACTGCAACTGTTAAGCTTTGTAAACTTTTTGTGGAGCGCGGAGCTGCTGGAGTTCACATCGAGGATCAGTCATCAGTGACCAAAAAATGTGGTCACATGGCTGGAAAAGTACTTGTTGCGGTGAGTGAACACATCAATAGGCTTGTGGCTGCAAGGTTGCAGTTTGATATCATGGGGGTTGAGACGGTCTTGGTGGCTCGAACCGATGCAGTTGCTGCCAATTTGATTCAAAGCAACATTGACACTAGGGATCACCAGTTCATTTTGGGTGTAACCAATCCAAACCTCAAGGGTAAGAGTTTAGCTACTCTTCTAGCGGAGGCAATGGCTGCTGGTAAAAATGGACCTGAGCTGCAAGCCCTCGAGGACAACTGGTTGTCAATGGCACAATTGAAGACGTTTTCGGAGTGTGTCATGGATGCAATTAAGAATGCCAACATTGGAGAGGCTGAGAAGAGGAGGAGATTGAACGAGTGGATGAATTATTCAAGCTATGATAAGTGCCTCTCACACGAGCAAGGCCGAGAGATTGCAGAGAGACTGGGGCTTAATAATCTGTTCTGGGACTGGGACTTGCCTAGAACCAGAGAAGGGTTTTATAGGTTCAAGGGCTCTGTGATGGCAGCAATTGTGCGTGGCTGGGCTTTCGCTCCACACACTGACATTATTTGGATGGAGACTTCGAGCCCCGACTTGGTTGAGTGTACCACATTCGCAGAAGGGGTGAAATCGATGAAACCGGAGATCATGTTGGCTTACAATCTTTCTCCATCTTTCAACTGGGATGCTTCGGGAATGACAGATGAACAGATGATGGATTTCATCCCTAGGATTGCCAAGTTGGGTTACTGTTGGCAGTTCATTACTCTGGCTGGTTTCCATGCAGATGCTCTCATTGTGGACACTTTTGCTAAGGATTTTGCTAGGAGGGGAATGTTGGCTTATGTGGAGAAGATCCAGAGGGAGGAGAGGAACAATGGAGTTGATACACTGGCCCACCAAAAATGGTCTGGTGCAAATTACTATGATCGAGTCCTCAGGACTGTCCAGGGAGGCATTACTTCCACTGCTGCTATGGGAAAAGGCAAAATATACCCTCCTTTCTTTCAACACACACGCACACGCACACATGCGCATGCACACGAGCACACAAATTGGTTATGATTCATGAACACATAGGGTTTTGCTCAGTATATAGGAATTAGAAGAAAGCATTATAACATGTTGATGATCTTCTATGTCTATACTATGCAGGAGTGACTGAAGATCAGTTCAAAGACACATGGACAAGGCCAGGAGCAACACATATGGGTGATGGCACTGTTGTGCTAGCAAAGTCAAGAATGTAGGAGAAATATTTTGATATGGTGAAGAGGAGCTTTGGACCTAAAGTACAATAACGTGTTTCAATAATTGCATTGTGTGATTGAATCAAGATGGGCATTTTTTGGCCCCCAAATTGCATGACAGTTAGTGTTGTAGCACTAGTTCTATTTGTATTTTGGTTCATGTTACATGTTTAGAATGTGTACTAAACTGTTTCAAAATCACATTGCTTTTGTTCAACTTGAGATCTAAAACGAATTTGAAAGCTATCAACTGGTGTAGGAAGCGAATTTAAGACCCTTTTTGGAACACTCCAGTCCAGAGGTCATATATCAGATTCAGCATAAGAAACGGGCATGGTTAACTTGCAGCCATGGCAATCTCTCATCGTCATATTACTGGTTCTGCTTATGCGTCAAGTCTTATCTATCTTTCTTGAGACCTCTATCCAACATGCTTTATTTTCCACTTATATTGTGTGTGTGTGTGCGCGCGCAATTGTTGAGGTAGCTAGACCTGGTTGAACCGCACTTGAGATTCTTGAAACAAGAATTTGGGTTAGGAAATGTTGGTTACCCAGGGTCAGAAATATACCATAAACAAGATATAAACAAAAAGGAAGGATCTATTTGGTTTGCATCTCAAAAAATAGTATCTGAAAACAGTTCTTGAGAAAAGTTTAAAAAAAATATTTTTAATGTTTTCTGAGACTAAAAACTTGTTTGGTTATATGATTCAAGAATTTATACAAAATTCTCACAAATGAGATCTCTCTTGAATGTCTTTCTCTGTGTTTCTTTCTCACTGATCTTGAGTATACTTCTGGCCTTCACTAAACTTCATATTTATAAGGAGTTTCTGGCCAAAAAATAAAGAAAGGAGGGAATCCATTTAATGCACCGACAAGCTTTGTCAAAACATCCGGCCATCTAGTCGTCAAGCCGTTCATAGAGGTGGCTACTGCATAGGGTGGCTATGGATATGGTTTCTAGATCCTTCAATTCTCCCCCTCCAGAACCATTATAAGAGAATGGAATCAGACATTCATCTCGACTATGTCTCTGCACAGCTCAAGCTTCTCTCGAGTGACGACCTTTGTCAACATATCTATTGGATTCTCCTTTGTGTGGATCTTCACTAGTTTCAATAACTGTTGCTTCATCACTTCGCGTATCCAATAATAGCGAATATCAATATGCTTCGTCTGGAAATGGTACATTGAGTTCTTGCTCAAGTCCAGAGTACTTTGACTATCACAATGCACCTTATATTCCTTCTACTTAATACCCGGTTCTTGGAGAAACCGCTTTAACCATAACAGTTCCTTACCAGCTTTTGTTATAGCAATATACTCAATCTCTGTCGTGGATAAAACTATGCACTTCTGCAACCTTGACTGCCATGACACAGTTCCTTCTACAAAAGTGTAGATTTTCTACCATCAAGATCTCCTGTCATATCTGAATTTGTATAGCCTTTCAAAACTGGTTCAACTCCTCCGTAACACAAGCATATATTCGATGTATCTTTAAGGTATTTGAGAATCCACTTGATTGCCTCCCAGTATTCTTTCCTTTGATTGGAAAGAAATTTGCTCATCATGTCCTTTGTATGGGCAATATCTAGTCTTGTACACATTATTGCATACATTAGACTCCCAATTGTTGAAGATCAAAGAATCATTGTCATATCTTCTATCTCTTTCTTTGATGAGGGACGTGAATTCTTGCTCATCTTGAAATGATTAGCCAGTGGGATGTTGACTGGCTTGGTAGTATTCATGTTGAACCTCTGGATCACCTGTTCAACGTATTTCTATTGTGATAACTACAATTTATTGGGTTTCCTATAATGAACAATTTGCATGCCTAGTATCTGCTGAGTTGGGCCTAAGTCCTTCATGTCAAAGGACTTGGATAGTTCATTCTTCAACTGGCTAATCTTTATTGCATATTTTTCGACGATCAACATGTCGTCAACATAAAGTAGAAGTGCAACGAAATTGTCATCTGAGAATCTCTAAGCGTAAACACACTGATCTTGGGTAGTCCTCTTATAGCTTTGACCTACCATGAATGAGTCAAACTTTTTATACCAATGTCTGGGCTCTTGCTTGAGGCCTTATAGACTCTTCTTCAACTTGCAAACTAGATCTTTCTTTCTTGGAATCTTGAAACTTTCCGGTTGTTTCATAAAGATTTCTTCATTTAGATCTCCATGAAGAAATGTAGTTTTCACGTCCATTTGTTCAAGCTCCAAGTTTAAATTGGCTACTAATCTGAGAATGACTCAAATTGAGGTCATCTTAACAACTGATGAGAAAATCTCGTCAACGTCAATTCCTTTCTTCTGTTGGAATTCTTTAACGACCAACCGAGCCTTATACTTTACCAATTTCCCACTGCCATCTTTATTTAGCTTAAACACCCATTTATTCCTTAGTATTTTCTTGCCTTTTGAAAGTTTCACAAGCTCATAGATTTGATTTTTCTACAGGAATCTATCTCATCCTACATGGTTTGCATCCATTTGTCTTTATCCGTATGAGCTTGTGATTCTTGGAAGCTATCCAACTCCTCCTAATCAGTAAGCAAAATATAGTCTGACTCCGAATATCTACTCGACAAAATGCGTCCTCTTTTGAATTTTCCTGATTGAAGCTCATCAGCTATATGAGGTACACCATCCTCTGATTGTTGTGATGGTCCTGCAACATCTGGTGGAGGGGGTTATTGTTTCTCTTGGTCAACACCTTCATCATCATCTTGTTATACTTTTATAGCTTCACCCTGCACTTTGTCATTATCTGTGGCAAACTGTAACAGTGTAGAGTCTGGAACAATATTCTGTGCACTAGAACTAGAATTGCTAGACTTTGTGGGATTTTCAAAGTTCTCATACTCCTGGTTTTCATGGGACACCACATCTCTGCTCCTAATGATCCTTTTGGCCTTTGGGTCCCACAATCTGTATCCAAATTCTTCATCTCTGTATCCTATAAAGATGCACATGGTGGTCTTAACATCAAGTTTCAGCCTATACTCTTTGGATACATGTGCAAATTCTTTGCACACAAATATTCTTAAGTGAGAATAGAAGGATTGTTGCTCCCCTTGCTCAACACCTTCTTTATCATCTTATTCTGTTTCTGTAGCTTCATCCTGCACTTCGTCATTATCTATGGCGAACTATAACGGTGTAGGGTCTGGAACAATGTCCTGTGCATCTGGACTTTGTGGAATTTTCAAAGTCCTCATACGCTTGGTTTTCATGGAACACCATGTCTCTGCTCCTAATGATCCTTTTGGCCTTTAGATCCCCATTTTGTATCCAAATTCTTCATCTCCGTAGCCTATAAAGATGCACAGATTGGTCTTAACATCAAGTTTTTGCCTCTACTCCTTGGATACATGTGCAAATGTTTTGCACCCAAATATTCTTAAGTGAGAATAGGAGGAATTTCTACCAAATCACACCTTCTCTGGAATATCAAAATTTAATGGTACTAACGGTGATCTGTTTATTAGATAATAGGCGACACGAATAGCTTCACCCCAGAATGGCTTAGGCAGCTTTGCCATGCTAAGCATGCATCAAGTTCTTTCCATAATGGTTCGATTCATCCTCTTTGTTACTCCATTGTGTTGTGGAGTACGTGGAACAATCTTCTCATGTCTGATATTATAATTTTCATAGTATGATTCAAACTCTCTAGAAGTATATTCGCCTTCATTGTCTGTTCATAAACACTTTAGTTTTGTTTCTATTTCCCACTTTACCAAGGCATGAAATATTTTGAAGCATTTGAGTACTTGGTCATTCATTTTTAGGAAGTACACCCATACCTTATGTGAATCATCATCAATAAAGGTTATAAAATATTTGTTATCGCCTAATGATTCCACCTCCAGGGGACCACAAACATCAGAGTGTACCAGGTTTAACAACTCTGATCTCCTCTTCATAGAGGAACTGAACGAGGCTTGATGTTGTTTACCAAACAAACAATGCTCACAAGGATTTAGTGTAACATCCTTGGCAATTGTGACGAGATCTTTCTTTGCCAAGGTAAACAATCATATTTCCCTATGTGACCTAAGTGCCACAGATTTGGTGAAGCCTCAATTTTAATTGCATTGAGGCTATCTGAGCAAATTTCACATAGATCTTGTAAAACATGCCACAAATATGTCCTTGGACGACAACTATAGCACCTTTTGTGAGCTTCCATGTGCCATTATTGAAATAGTTATCATAACCTTGTCTATCACAGGCTATCCCAGAAAGTAGATTTAGCCAAAGGTCGGGCATATGTCGGATATCCATCAATACCAATGTATAACCAACATTTGTTTTTATCTGAATATCACCAATTTTCACTATCTTGGAAAAACTAATGTTTCTTATCCTCATTGTATCAAAGTCTCTGACTTTGTACGTCGAGAAGAAATCGCTGTGAGAAGTGGCATGGTAAGAAGCTGCAGTATCTGCCACCCACTCTGCGTCATGGTTGAAAAAATGAAGGCATGTTTCTTCATTTACAGAAAGAATGACCACGTCTTTTGAGAGAGTGATTAACATCTCCCCATCCTATTTCTTTGGTTGATTATTGCCTTGGCCTTATTCTCGTAGCAACTTGTGGCAGTTTTTCTTCATGTGGTCTTTCATGCCATAATGGTAACACTTGTATGTAGGTCTTCCTCCGTCATTTGATTTTCCTGGACATTGTGACCTTCCTCTACTCCTACTCCTTCCCCTTCCCTTGCCTGTACTACCTCCTTCCTATTTGACTTTATTCTCAGTGACGAAGGCATTTGACTGGCCAATGCCAACATCCTTTCTCCTGGCCTCCTCATTAAACGAGGCATCCTTAACCGTTGACATGGTAAGTTTGCCTCCTGGAGCTAGGAATGGTAGTGGACAGAGTAAAAATGGATATTCGTCCAAACTTGTCATGTTTGGATCAGAGATGGACCATATTTATTGGACGTTGGACGTATACAGAGATACCCATTATAAAATCGTACAGGAATGGACTGACACTTATCCCTGCCCCTCCCCGCTTTACCCGTCCACGGGGATACCCGTGTATATATATATATACATGTTGTTGGAATACAAATCTACAT